CATTGGTCTTCGGGTCTCTTTTTGTACCAGTACCAAGCTGTCTTTGTTATTATGGCTCTATAATAGAGCTTGAAATCCGGTATCGTGATCCTGCCTGCGTTGTTTCTTTTGCCTAGAATTTCTTTGGCTATTCTAGGTCTTTTGTTGTTCCATATGAACTTTTGGACTATTTTCTCTATTTCAGTAAAGTATGTCATTAGGATTTTAATGGAATTGCGTTGAATGTGTATATCAATTTTGGCAGTATAGCCATTTTCACTATGTTAATTCTGCCTATCCAGGAACATGGAAAGTCTTTCCATTTCCAGGTATCCTTTATGATTCCTTTTTTTAGGCTTTTATAGTTTTCATGAAATAGGTCTTTTACGTCTTTGGTTAGGTTAATTCCTAGATACTTTATTTTTTTTGAGGTTATTGTGAATAGGGTTGTTTCCTTGATTTCCTTTTCTGCTTGTACATTGTTGGTGTACAGAAAGATGACTGATTTTTGTGGGCTAATTTTGTATCCTGTTACATTGCTGAAGTGTTCATAAGCTCTAAGAGTTTGGGGATGGAGCCTTTTGGGTCATTAAGGTATAAAATCATGTCATCTGCAAAAAGAGATAGTTTAACTTCTTCCTCCCCTATGCAGATCCCTTTAATATCTTTTTCTTGCTGTATTGCTCTGGCTAAGGATTCCAGAACTATATTGAATAGGTCTCTCTCTCTCTCTCTCTCTCTCTCTCTCTCTTCCTCTCTCTTTTGACAACAAATAAGAAATTTCAACAAGAATAATCTAAGACTTTCTCCAACAGATACTAAAACATATTGCAAGCTGGATGTTGGTGACTCAGGTCTGTCATTGTAGCTACTTGGGAGGCAGGAAACAGGAAAATCACTGTTCCAGGCCAATCAAGGCAGAGAAGTCTTTGAGACTCCATCTCAAAAGAAAGAAGCAAGGTGTAATGGTGTGTGCCTGTCATCCTAACCATGCAGGGAAGCCTAAAATGGGCAGAATGTTGCCCAGCTGTTTAACTGGGCCGGAAGTAAGACCTTATCTTAAAAATAATGAGGACAGCCCAGTGCCAGTGGCTCACACCTGTAATCCTAGATACTCAGGAGGCTGAGCTCTGAGGAATGCAGTTCAAAGCCAGCTAGGGCAGGAAAGGCCATGAGACTCTTATCTCCAATAAACCACCAAAAAACCAGAAATAGTGCTCTGGCTCAAGTGGTAGAGTGCTAGCCTTGAGCTGAAGAGCTGAGGGACAGTGCCCAGGCCCAGAGTTCAAGCCCCATGACATACATACATACATACATAGCAAGTACAAGTTGCATGCTTGTGCTATGAGCCAACTGTCATCCTAGCTAGTCAAGAGGTTGAGATCTGAGGATCATGGTTTGAAGCCAGCCCAGGCAGAAAAGGTCTGAGACTCTTTTATCTCCAGTTAACTAGCAAAAGGCTAGAAATAAAGCAGTGGTTCAAGTGGTAGAGCACTAGATTTGAACAAAAGAAAGCCAAGGAACAGTATCCAGGTCCTGAGTTCAAGCCTCAGTATCAGCACAAAAGACAACCCCCCCCCACCGCCCCCATATGAAACAGCCATCACAGAAAAGGGCTGGAGATATAGCTTAGCAGTAAAGCACCTGCCTAGCAAGTGTGCAGCCCTGAATTGAAGCCCCTATATCACCTTCCCCCACCCATACCCCTCTACATTGTAAAGCCTCAGTATCTTGAAGTATGTTACTGGTGAATAAGTGATGGATGGAGGATGACACCCAATGGAACATCACCATGTGGGAAGCACTCAGTGCCATGCATAAGGCAAGAGGCATCTGTGAGGAACGCAGGAGAGGTCTGCTAACCACAGAACTGCACGTGACAGGCACCTCTGTGGTATAGACAAACGAGCTTTAGGAGAGTGCGACAGGGGCTCTGTGGCTTCCTTTTTTTTTTTTTTTTAGTTAATTAAAAAGTGAGTCAGGCACCAGTGGCTAACACCTCTAATCCCAGCTACTCAGGAGGCTGAGATCCGAGAATCATGGTTCAAAGCAGCTTGGGCAGGCAGAAAAGTCCATGGGATTGTTACTTCTAGTAAAGCAGCAAAAGCTGGATGAGGAGGTGTGGCTCAAATGGGAGAGCAACAGCCTTGAGCAAAATAGCCTCTCAGCCCTGAATTTGAGCCCTAGTACCAGCACAAAAATATTTCCAGGGCTGGGAAGGTGGCTCAGTAGTAAAGTGCTTGCCTTGCATGTATGAGGCCCTGGGTTCAATTCCTCAGCGTCACATAAGCAGAAAAAGCCGAAAGTGGCGTTGTGGCTCCAGTGGTAGAGCGCTCGCCTTGAGCTGAAGAGCTGATGGACAGTGCCCAGGGCCAGAGTTCAAGCTCCACAAACAGAAAAAAAAATATTTCCAAACCAAGAATTTAAATTTCCCATCTGTGCACTGCTGTGAGCCCAGCTGATGCACAATGGCTCTCAGCCCCACATCACAGCCGTGTTTAAATCGTTGTGTGACCTGAACGTTCTCTGCCCTTAATTTGGTGGAAATCTGCCTCTCCAGGGAAAGTTATGGACATTCAAGCCAAAGAGAGCACACACTGTGTGCTTTATTTTAGCCATCAGTGAAAATTAAGAGATTTATTTGAGAGGTGTCATGTCTGTTGCAGAAGTTGGGCAGGGTTCCAGGAAAAATGAGTCAAATATCCACAGTTTTTTGTTTGTTTGTTTTTGATTTTTGGGTTTTTTTGTCGGTCATGTGGCCTGAACTCTGGGCCTGGGCTTAGCTCTTCAACTCAAGGCTAGCGCTCTACCACTTGAGCCACAGTGCCACTTCCGGCTTTTTTCTGTTTATGTGGTGCTGAGGAAGTGAACCCAGGGCTTCATGCATGCAAGGCAAGCGCTCTACCATTGAACCACCTTCCCAGCCCCCAATCTATTTTTGTTGTTGTTGTTATTTTTGTTTTTATTTTGGTCATGGGGCTTGAACTCAGGGCCTGGATGCTGTCTCTGTGCTGTTCAGCTCAAAGCTAGGACTAGTTGTAAAACACCTGCTAGCTTTCTACCACTTTGTGCCACAGTGCCACTTCAATTTTATTGTGGTTAATTGGAGATAAGAGTCTCACAGACTTTCCTGCCTGGGCTGGCTTTGAACCACGATCCTCAGATCTCAAGCTCCTGAGTAGCTAGGATAACTGTGTGAGCCACCACTGCCTGGTAAGATTTAGTTGTTGATGAGCAGTGTGAATGTGTAGCCATTTCTGTGACAGCAACATCACCTACCCAGTGGCTGATGAATGCTCTGTCCTGCTGTATGTACAGTACAGGTGAACTCATGTAATTTTAGAGTACTGCACTCTGTGTATTCCAAGCATTTGTGAGCTTTCCTCATAGTCTTCTTGGGTCTGTATATACTCATGGATATTGAGGGTTTACTGTTATTTACAAATGAAGACATTTTAAGTAAAACATGAAACCAGTGCTTCAACATAACAGTGTCCTGGAGGATGCTGATCATAGTTATGGAGCTTTGCATCTACTGATTCATCTGTTTTTGTTTATGTTATTGTTGTTGTGTTTTTCTTTTTTGGTGCTGGAGTTTGAACTCAGGACTTTGAGTCAGCTAGGCAGGTGTTTTACAACTTGATCCATATCCTAGCCCCATTTTTGCTTGTAGCTCTTTTTCAGGTAATATCTCTTATTTTTGCCCAGGGCTGATCTCAGACCTTGGTCCTCCTAAGGTGCTGAATGACAGGTGCATGCTACAGTGACAATTTACTGGTTGTGAGAGAGCTCACTAACATTTTTTTTTTTTTGGGTCCGGTAGTGGGGCCTGAACTCCGGGCCTGGGCACTGTCCCTCAGCTCTTCAGCTCAAGGCTAGGCTCTACCACTTGAGCCACAGCACCACTTCTGGCTTTTTTCTTTTTGCTTATGTGGTGCTGAGGAATCGAACCCAGGGCCTCAGGCATGCAAGGCAAGCGCTCTACCACTGAGCCACCTTCCCAGCCCCGAGCTCACTAACTTTATGCCTGGTCTGATCTTGAGTCTGATCGATCCCATCTCTGGGATTACAGAGCTTGGATTACAGAGGTATGCCAGTGCACTCAGCTAATCCAACCTTTCTAGTAACCCTTAGGTATTTACTATTATTCCTGTTTCAAAGGCAAGGCACACAGAGGCTAAGTAGCTTGACATATGCCACCCAGCTAATCAGCTGTATAGTGAGAATCTGCTTTCAGCCACTGTAGAAAAACAAAAGTAAGTGTTCAGTTCAGCCTAAGGTGAATCATGGCCACCTCTAGGTCTATCCAGTTAATACAACACCCACTCACTCTGTGTGGAAGCATAACCTTAATTAAAATGAAAAAAATCCAGACCCTGGCTCACACGGGCCACATTTGAAGTGTGGGCCTGTATGGGAGCTGCTATGGCAGGCAGCTCAGACCTTGGGCATTTCCATCACCACAGAAAATCCCGCGAGAAGCCGTGTTCAAGGTAATGGTCCTCTAGACCTAGTGTTCTCCATAGCTAGTATTTCTAGTGCATTCTAGAAAAACAGTAGCCAGACAGAAGACTCACACTCAACAAGTACCGCATGGATAGACTTTAATTAAATATCACTTCATAACGTTATTTGCACACACTTTTGAAAAATAAGACGTGCCATGTTAGTTGTGATGTCCACAAAATAGAAGTATCCACACAGAATATGCTTTAAAGTGACTTCATTTACACAGCTTCTCAGAGAAACACACAAACCACTCTTGTCTGTCAGCTTGCACTGAACCAGATTTGGAGTTCACCAAGTTACCAGGCTGGGGATGGCCGTGTCCACAGAATGCCCATCTGCATAGGGTCCTGAAGCTGGCTGATTCCATTGGGAGAGCAATGGCGACGCCAGGCCTCCTCTCCTTACCCAGCATTGGATTCCACACTGAGCTCTTCCCTGAGTAGCCCAAAGCTTACAGAGGGCACCATCAGGCTGCAGCTTCCTGGGGGGGGGGAGTTGCTTGTTGGGGGGGAGGCTGGTGCCCTGCCCCTGCCTACACTAATTCTAATGTCTAATGTTCTAATTTGAAAACCCAGAATCCTAGGATATAAAACAAGAAGAGCTGCTGGGGTGGAAGACCAGAGAACAATTAAAGTTGAACCTAAGTCTGATGACTCTGAGGTGGAGACTTTCCATTTTACACTGCTTGGAGTATTTGAGATGGCTTGGGTACCTGGGCCGAGGATCAGGGTGTGTGACACTGTCCTTCCATAGTCCTCACAGCTCATGCTGTCTTGTCATGAGTTAAGACTCTCCATGTATGCCTGGGGTCAAAGGCCAGGAAAATTAAGCCAGTCTGAACTCTGTGGATCTAGCTCTCAGCTATTCCCTGGACACCCTAGAGACCTGCCCAACCTCCACTTTGGGGACTGTCACCCAGCCTTGTGCTCAGCTCTTGGTGGTACAGCTCTGCAGGATGAAGCCTCTGTCCCCAACCTGAAGGCAGGTAAGCTGCCCTAGCCAGTGGCGGTTCCTGGGTGCTGTGGTCCCCTTGATCTGCAGCATGCCTGAAGTTACAGTGCAGGGCGGGGCTGCCCACTCAGCTGGCCAAAGCCACATGCCCACAGCAACCCAGGAAAGGGCTCAGGAAGGCTGCGAGCAGAAATTGTCCCATCACTACTACTGGCCACCAGGGTTAACACAGCTAAAATGTCCCTGCTCATCTTGTTTTTGCCCTCCCTCCCCTCTCTTCAGTCTTAGGGGGAAAAAATCACTAGAGAAATGAGTAGCTGAATAGCAGCACAACCTGATTCAATCCTAGGCTTGGAGCTTGACCATGAGAGGCACCTCATAACTCATTTTTTCCCCCACAAGAGCTCCTTTCCAACAGGGGCTGATCCTGTCATCTCTTCCGCATGAACCATGCGGGCTCCTACGCCTTATACACTCCACTTTAAACGCTGCCAGGTATCTAAGCCGCTCTGTGGTTTGGCTTCTACCACTCTTTCTGTCCTATCTTGGTGCCTTTCCTAATGCTGGTCCCTCTGCTGTGTGTGTGTGCTCACGAGTGCACACTCATGCACACACCTATGTGATCACCCTATTCTCTGCTTTGCTCAGATCTTCACATTTGCCAATGTCTGTGAATAGGCTCAGCGCCCAGCCTTTGGCAGGACCTCCAGTGCTGTCCTTTTTTCTCCACTCTTATACTTCACACCTATGGTAGCCCACCCTGCAGGAGATTTCTGGGTATCTGTGCTTCGCCTGGAGCTAGGGAGCCATATCATAGGTTTGAGTTTTACCCTCCAATTTCTTAACACATAGTAATAAGTGATAACCCATCCTAAGAGGGGCAATCATTGTCCATTGCTTTCTTAGGCAACAGAGGACAAAATACAAAAGTGGTTAAGAGAAGATATGGAAGTAGGCATCACAGGTAGCAGATGGCAGAGATCTGGAGTCAGGTAAGGAGTCGGTATAGAGTGCAAGGCATGAAGATGAGAGACTTACGCGGACACTGGGCTGTTAACACTGTTGTCTGGCCTAGTATATATACAGACTACCTAGGGAAGCAGGGGGCGTGGCTCTGAGGTGAGTGGAGAAATGCCACAGGTCCCATAGGTCTGTTCGACTTGCCCAGAGGATCCAGAGGACATAGAATGGGGGACTTTAACTTTCTGGCAGGGGTGGGTGGGCCTCTTGGGGTTTTGGTGGCTATGTTTTTCCTTTAGTAGGCTTCTGACCGGGGTGAGATCTTGGGATGCCTGCTAGTTAAGAATGCAGATTCCTAGGCTGCAGCCCTGTCCTCCTAGGCCTCATCTCTACAGTTAGGGTGAGAAATCTGCATTCTAAATAAACTCCCGAGAGGGAGGAACTGTATGTATAAAGTTTGCAAACCTTTACCTGCCATCTCCCAAAACATACCATCAGTCTAGAGGAAGACAATGCTGGGCACACACACGGGCACCGTGTGTTGGAGCCGAGGAGGCTGACAATCTCCGCCGATTCCAGCAAAATGAACCCGTGGCTCGTTTGGTTTGTGTAAGTTTGTAAAGGGGATGCTCAAGGATGGGAAGTGAGTGAGCTGTTTCTGAAGCAAGCACCCCAGGCTCTTCCCAAAAGAAAATGTGACTCAGCAAACAGCCGGAGCATCTGTGGACCCTTTGGTAAAGAATGGACAGAAAAGCCAAATATGGTGGTCCACACCAGCACTCAGGAGGCTGAGACAGGAGGATCATAAGTTTGAGGCCAACCTAGGCTACACAGAGAGCTCCAGGTTGGCATGAGAGAGACCCTATCTCAAAAAAAAATAGAGAGGAATGGACAAGATGGAAAGGGCCTACAGGGAACCTCTCTTATTCTTCCCTTCTCCTAACTTCCTTCTGGGGAGGGGAGTAATCAAGTAGTTCTCACAGGGCCAGAGCCAAGTTAGTTTTCAGGGTAGAACCAATAAAAACACACTGCACATGTCTTCCCTGGGAGGCAGATGCTCACTGCCAAGCGGCCAGTGATTGCACATCCCGCTCAGCGTTGGCCCACAGTGCCAGGCAAAGGGCGGGGAGAAGATAGCGTGGACACGGGATTGTGGATGACACAGGTGGAGACAGGCATGCATGTGAGGTGGAGGAAGATGGCGGCAGTGGAGGTCTGTAGTCTTCCTCTGGAGTTGAGGATCTCCACCTGGCCTCAGCTCTCAAGACCATGGCAACCTTTAGCCTGGGAGGCTCGGCAACCTCACAGCTTCAAACCCCATCAGGGCTGCGACACCTGCCACTTTCAGACTGCCTTCCTTCTCCCCATTTGAAATTTCCAAGACCAAGTTAACACATCTTTTGCCAGGGACAAAGATTTCCCAAGACCTCCTTCCGCAGAGTTCTTGGTTGAAAAACCTGACTTGAAAGGCAAGTCTGAAGGTCAAGAATGAAAGGGGAGACCTATTATTGGGCTGGCCCAGCCAGTTAGAAACCAAGGGAAGGAGAGCTGGGCTCATGGTGGTTCATTCCTTCTTGGTGTGCTCCAGGACCCGGTAGGGAACAGGGGTGCTCCTGGAGCCATGTTCTTCTTGCATGACTGGCAGTGTGGCAGGAGCGTAGATCTCAGAAATGCTGTCGTTGTTTTCCAGGGCCCCATAGGAAAAAGAAGCTTTGAGGTCAGGCTGGACGGTCATCCCTTTGTCGTGCATGCTTTGCATACCTGAAATGAAATCCATTTCCCAATGGGTCATTATCTGTGAAGGAAGCCAAGAGGCTACACTTTCCTCTATTTTGTCATGGATCAATCAGAGCTTGGGGGCTGATCACGTGCACTATCAATTTCCTGGATGCTTCGGATTGAAAAGAGAACATCTATAACTAGTTCCTAGAAATTTTACAGTCGCTAAGCAACAGGGATACATCTCCAGGAGATAGGCACGCAGACCAGCCAGGATGAAATGGGAATGTATGTTTGGACCCCTGGGTAGAATGAAAGGGGCACTGTGCTTTGGGATGTGGTAGATGCCAATGCTTTACTATGGAATAACTCAGGATCTGAAAGGTTTATGCTGTGGAGAAAGGAAGGTGACTTTTGTAGTCAGGAAACCTGAGCAACGTGCTCAGAGAGAAGCCTTGACCTTTAACATGAACATCCCTGGTCCACCTTTGGGTGAGGTGTGATCTTGCTCACATGATCATTGAGGAGAATGAGGCAGCCGGAGGGTAACATAGCAGACATCACCCAGTGTAGCCTGTACCAGGACTCCACTTCTGGAAGCTTAAACTCTGCAGCTTGTAGACTGAACTGGAATGCCTCTTTACACACTTGCACTCAATCCCCAAGCTAACCTTGTGTCACCATCCCCATTTTCTGGTTAAGAAAACAGAGATTCAGAGCTGGAGCTAGTGGCACATACCTGGAAAATCTTAGCTACTCAGAAGGCTGAGATCTAAGGATTATAGTTCAAAATCACACTGGGCATGGAAATCTGTGAGACTCTTATTCCCAATTAACCACCAAAAAGTTGGAAGTGGAGCTATGGTTCAAGTGGTAGACACTATTGAACAAATGAGGTCAGGGATAGGGCCTATGCCCTAAGTTCAAGTCACAGGACTATCAAAAGAGAGAGAGAGAGAGAGAGAGAGATCTAGAAGGGCTGGGGGCATAGCCCAGTGGTAGAGTGCTTGCCTACATGCACTTGCCCTGGGCTCCATCCCCGGCAACACTAACAAAAACAACCCTCCCTCCAAACCAACCAACCAGATGAAACTCCTCAGAGATTCACAGAGGGCCAAGGTCACACAGCAGAGGCAGCTGGGATGCAATGCCAGTCTGTGCTCTCATGCGTGCTACAGTGGGGTGGGAAGATCCATTTGGGGAAGGCCCCGTGTCTCCATGTGGCACAAGACTCAGCTGGAAGTTAACTGAAGGCCACAGTGTAAGTGTCTGTGGAGCCAGGCACCGGTGGCTGACTCCTGTAATCCTTGCTACTCAGGAGGCTGAGATCTGAGGATTGCAGTTCAAAGCCAGCCAGGGCAGGAAAGTCCATAGGACTCTTATCAACAAGCAGCCACCAAAAAGTTGGAACTGGAACTGTGACTCAGTGGAAGAACGTGAGCCTTGAGCCAAAAAGCTGAGGGACAGAGCCCAGGCCTGTCTATGATTGGACTAGGGTGTGGCATAAGTGGTAGAGGGCCTGCCTAAGAAATGTGAGGCCCTGAGTTCAAACACCAATAACACACACACACACACACACATACACACACACACATGCACACACACGCACACACACACAGACGCGCGCGCACACACACACGCACGCGCTCGCACACACACACACACACACAGTCTGTGCTTAAGAATTTGAGGATGGGTATAGGAGACAAGGTGGAAGATATCATGACCAAGTGTTGTCATTTTGTCATTATTCTCTGACCAAAGACTGCTAAGAATACTCTGGAGCCTGTCAGAGGTGGTGTTCCCAGCTCACTGCAATGACATACAGCCCTTGGAGCCATGGGGAACATGATGAGGGGTGACTTGGGATGGGATTTGGGCTTGGTCTGGGATGTGGGACAGGGTTCAATGAGGTGAAGCTATACTTTGGGTTTGCTGCTGTCAGAAAGCAAGGATTCTTTTGTACCTGGATCTTTTTTCTTGCCAGTACTGGGACTGAACTCAGGACTTTTAAGTGCTTACTGGGCTATTTTGTTCACAGCTGGCACTCCACCACTTAAGCCATGCTTCCAGTCCAGATTTTGGTGGTTAAATGGAGATGAATCTCTCCAGTTTGTCTGCCCAAACCAGCTTTGAACCTTGATTCTCAGATCTCAGCCTTCCGAGTAGCTAGGATTGTAGGCATCAGCCACTTGTGCCTCGTTGGTTGGTACCTGGAATCTTAAGTCTTTCTCTAGAAGATTCAATAGACTCAAGCTGAGGCTGGAAAAGCAGCAGCCATCTCCACGTAAGCCAAAGTGAGAGATGGCTGCTCTTTCTTGGGACTTGGACAATGTTCAGGTGTGACCTGTGCTGAGCCTGACAACAGAACGGCCCTGTGTGTGGTGAGCCATCCCAGTCAGAGTGGCCTTGGCTGCAGCTGGGGTTCTGTGAAATGACTCTACTCAGGTGGAGAGCAGCAGAGCCAGCAAGGGCCAGGCAGCTGGAGATGGATGGGGAGGCTGCTTTTCTCTTGCTTGTGTTTAAGAAGGCTTCCGACGCAAACCTCTGAATTGCTGCATGTGAATTTGGAAACTCTGAAGACCTCATGAAAAGCAGCTACTGGTCAGTCCTGGTGATACCAATGTAGGCAGACACTGGTCAGTTCAGGCATGACCAGGGAAACCAAAAGGACTGCAAGAATGCTCTAAGCTCAGAGCCCAATGCTTTTCTTCTGCACGTGCCGCCTGGCACCAGGTCAAACAGATCGATGTTGAAAATGTTCCAAGTTTTTATTTTTTTAAGCAAAAAGGAAGTGCAATCAGATTTAACCAGGCATCTACCAGGTCCCAGACACTGTGCAAGAGCTTGAAAGAAGGAATTACAATTTAGGATGAGGATGAGCGGCCTTGGGAGGTCGCACAGCGAGCAGGTGGCAGAGCTGGGATTTGAACCCAGGTCATCTGAACTCCAAGTCCACGCACGCTCGTCACGGTACAGGATACCTATTTATTCAGAAGTGTCCTGACAACCACCACCACCACAGGGCAGGGCCTCTAGATTTCTAGATGTCCTTTCCCACTGGTCTAAAGGTACAACAAGAAAACCAAGAGCCACACTCACAAACAGGCCACAGCATGTTGGTGTCTAAGATTACCTGAGGTTACCTTCTATTGGCCACTAGAAAACAGGTCTGTATATATGTGGACATATATACAGATATTTGTATAGATACACACAGTTGATAAACACACACAAAAGCACATATACGTACACATACTTGCACACACAGAGTTGACACCTCACCTATCTGGAATTCAGCTATCCAGCGCCCTCATCTATTCCGGAACACAGCCGAGAAACAAGGAAGTAAGCAGAAAAGGCATCTCAGCAGCCAGATTAGATGTTCAGACGACGTCCATGCACTACAGCCCAGGCCCTTTCACTCCTAGGCCAAGCCTCATTCGTGTTGGGTTTATCCAGCATTTGAATAAATTGGGCCAAATGAAAAGACTTAAGGAGTTGTTACAGTCAGGCAGGCTGCTCACAGCAAGGACAGACAATAGCTTACCGGCACAAGAGGAGGAGGAGATACTGTAAAAAGGGGATAATAAGCTACCACTGTGGAGGCCATCTAATACGAGAGCACCTCGGTCAATCCCAAGAACACGCTTGCCTTCTGCCACTGCAGCCGGGAGCTGCTCCTGAGTCCTGCACAACTGTGTCGTCCACGTATTTGTATTTCCAGCTTTAGATGGGATCAATGAAGACTGAGTGATTACTTTTGGGAAAGAGTTTTGTCTTACATATTTAAAATAAAGATGAATTTTGCGCGATCACTGGTGATCTGTAGAAACTGACCTTGGCAGACCCAGCCGGGGACTGGGCTGGTCTTTCCTGATCTGCATCTTATTTATTTATTTATTTATTTATCTATCTGTTGTAGGGTTTAAGCTCAGGGCCTGGGCACCATTCCTGAGCTCTTTGGCCCAAGGCTAGCACTCTACCACTTTGAACCACATTGCCACTTCCTTTTTTTTTTTTGGTGGTTAACTGGAGATGAATGTCTCAGGGACTTTCCTGCCTGGGTTGGTTTCAAACTGGGATTCTTTACACCTCAGCCTCCTGAGCAGCTACGGTTACAGGTGTGAGCCACCAGTGCCTGGAGATCCGTGTACCTTTCAGGCTGGCCAGACATTCTCTAGTGGGACCTGTCTCCATCTCACACCAAACTGGGGCAGACAGCTTTACTTTCTTACTGTCACTGTTGGGGCTTAAAAGCATCTGAGCTGGTGCTCTTCAGTGTGAGCCCTTAACTCCCTGGATAATTAGAACAACCCACTCCCTTGGTGGGATCAGGGAGTGAGGTTATCTTGTTTGAATTTCACCCATTGTACCAGATGACTGGAGTTTTCCATTTGCAGCCACTCAGCCTGCTGGGGAGATTACAGCACATCCAGTGTGAACCAGGATGTTCTTTAAAAGATCCCGAGACAGACATAGGAACTGGCAAGAGGTGCTCAAAACCAACCGAGGTGCCTCAGCCATTGCCTCCTCTTTTGCACAATGAAATTCAAAAACAAGAAAAAGGACAGGGAGAGAGACGGGATCACACCACAGCAGCGAGGCACATCTTTCCCACATCATGCCCCGCCCCCTGTCTCCATGACAACTGGAAGTGGCAGTCATTGTACTTGGGCCGCCAGCTGGGCATGTGGGGTTTTAACATTACCTGGCATGGCGTCCATGGAAATATAGGGCTCAAATGGAATGGCCTTCTTCCTGTTCCGTGTGATCAGGAAGACACCCAAGAAGGCGATGAGACACCTGAGATACAGAGGTGGATAAGAGAGGGAAAGAAATAAGGCCAGGAAGAAGGAAAGGGGATTTGCAGCCACAGGGGGAAGGGACAAGTTAAAAAACAAAAGGGGGGGAGGGTTGGGGCAGCCCTGAGACCCTATAGGACCTGAGGCCAGCGGGCAGTGGATACTAGGGGGTAACAGACCCCACCTGTAGTCCTCAGACCTGTGAGCAGAATGAGTAAGATTCTGAGGTCAAGGGCTCAAAGTTCTTCCACATCTACTCCGGCAGTGTTTTCAATATCACCTTGAAAAATGTTTGATTTAAATTAAAAATGGCTTGTTTGTTTTTTTAAATTCAGGTAACGGTGGTTCACATCTGTAATTAAAGCTATTCAGGAGGCTGAGATCTAGGGGATCGAGGTTGAAGCCAGGCTGGGCAGAAAAAGGACAAAAGATTCCCTGTCTTAATTAGCCAGCAAAAGACTGGACTAGAGCCCTGGCTCAAGAGGTAGAGCAATATAAACAAGTTTGAAGCCCTGAGTTCAAGCCCCAATACAAGAAGCTAAATAAGGGGCCGGGAAGGTGGCTCAGTGGTAGAGCACTTGCCTTGCATTCATGAGGCCCTGGGTTCGATTCTTCAGCACCGCATAAGCAAAAAAAAGAAAAAAGCCAGAAGTGGTGCTGTGGCTCAAGTGGTAGAGTGCTAGCCTTGAGCTGAAGAGCTGAGGAACAGCGCCCAGGCCCAGAGTTCAGGCCCCACAACCTGACCAAAAAAAAAAACCAGTGTTCATCCCACACGACCACCTAAATAAATAAATGAATAAATAAATTCAATCACTGCAGAAGTATAAATAAGTAAAACTTGAAAAGCCCCCATCCAGTTTTCCTTCTTTCAGATTATTTTTTGTTTTTGTTTTCCTTTGCCTTATATAAACAAGAAAGCATCCAAAAACTGAGGTATAATTTATATGTAAAAAAATGTAAAGATTGCTGGGCTCACGCCTGTTATCCTAGCTATGCAGGAGGCTGAGATCTGAGGATTGTGGTTTAAAGCCAGCCTTGGCAGAAAAGTTTGTGAGACTCTTATCTCCAATAAACTAAACCACAGCAAAACAAAAAAAACAGGTGGAGGTGTGGCTCAAGTGGTAAAGCATTAGCCTTGAGCAAGGAACTCACGGGGACCTGAGTTCAAAGGTCAGGACTGGCAAACACACACACACACAAAGTAAAAAATTTAAGTGCATAGATGGATACATTTTGCTTGTGTTTCCACTTTGTGTGCCAGTCCTAGGTCTTGAACTCAGAGCCAGGGTACTGTCCCTGCGCTTCTTTTTTGCTCAAGGCTAGCACTCTACCATTTGAGCCACAGCACAACTCCAGCCTTTTCTGTTTATATGGTACTAAGGAATAGAACCCAGGGCTTTATGCATGCTAGGCAAGCGCTTTACCATTAAGCCACATTCCCAGCCCTTTGTGTTTCCACATTTGTAACCACCTCCCCAGAAGGTTGTCTCATTGTGTCCTAATTCATGCCAGGCCACTGGGAGGGAGACCTACCTGATTTTTTTCATCACAGGTTAGATTTGTCTGGTCTCAAATTATAAAGTAATTTTTTTTTTCAGTTGTGAGGCTTGAACTCTAGGCCTGGGTGCTGTCCCTGCACTCTTCAGCTCAAGGCTAGCACTCTACCACTTGAACCACAGCACCACTGGTTTTCTGGTAGTTAATTGGAGATAAGAGTCTCACGGACATTCCTGCCCAGGCTGGCTTTGAACCATGATCCTCAGATCTCAGCCTCCTAAATAGCTAGGATTATTAGTGTGAGCCATCGGCACCTGGTTTATGAGGTAAATTTTACATAAGGGTATCTGTTGTTGTACAGCCAGGGTTTTCCCATGGAGCTCAGCTTGGCCTAAGTAGTTGATTAGTTCTAATTGTTGTACAGAATCCATTGTCTGAATATTCTATTTTTTTCATTGTTTTATTGATATTTAGGTTGCTTCAAATTTGGGCCATTATACACAAATCTATTATAAATACTCGTGTCTGAGTCCTTTTGTCAGTGCACACACTCAATTCTTTTGTGTAAGAAGGCAGAAAGAAGTAGGATTTCTGGATCAGTGCATCGGCCACATGTTAGCAAGATGCTTGTAACTTTTCTCATTTAATGTATCCTGGACATGGTTCTGTCACTATCTACAGGCCAGCTTCCATTTTTCAAAATGGTGGCATGGCATTTTTCATGACGTTCGCGTCCCACAGCTGATTTATCCTGTGTTCTATTTAGGTTGATTCTGATTGTGAATGTACGCAACTGAGTTAAAGGTTCATAAATAACCTCATCCATAAATGCGGTAGCATCAATGTTTTTTCAAGCCAAATGATTGTAAGTAGGATTGATTATAGTCAATTTAATGGAGATCAAGAAGAAGCTCCTTTAAATTTTTCATTCATGCTGACAAATTGTTCCTCGCACGACCACACTGCAGATTGGAATGGGGTCTCTCCCATCCATGTGGGATATAATCACTCTTCTTAGTGTTTATAAGATGTCGGAGTCTTAGGCAATGTGTCTAAATGAGGTGTTTTAGAAATGACAAGGAGGGGCTGGGAAGTTGGCTCAGTGGTAGAGCTCTTGCCTTGCATGCCTGAGGCCCTGGGTTCGATTCCTCAGCACCACATAAGCAAAAAAAAAAAGGCGGAATTGGCGCTGTGGCTCAAGTGGTAGAGCACTAGCCTTGAGCTGAAGAGCTGAGGGAGAGTGCTCAGGCCCAGAGTTCAGGCCCCACAACCCGGACCAAAAAAAAAAAAAAGAAATGACAAGGAGATTAAAGCCTCAAAAGCGATGCGAGGTGGGAGCACGGTGTGTACCTCTGGGGACACAGCCCCCCAGCCGCCTCTAGTGATACAGGGAGAGGGAATAGCTGGTATTAATTCTCCACACCTGTCCCCAGCTGGCTCGAGCACCAGGACCAGGCAGGCAGGCAGGACTCACCCCAGGGCAAACATGCAGATGTGCAGCACATCCTCCCCAATGAAGTCCAGGTAAAAGATGGCGCCTGTGCAGCAAGGAACAGAGAAGGTGGGTGAGCAGTTTCCAGGTCACTGGCTCGCCAGGCCCACTAGGCTTCGGCTACGTTCTTCCCTGCAGGGAACCACTGACCAAATGTAGTATGACAGTAGAACATGAGAAGGACAGACTGAAAACCATTTGGAGGGACAGGCAGGCTCCCACGCCTCACCTTAGGCTCCTCTTGTCTACATCTTTTTATATTTCTTTCTTTCAGTCAGTTGTGGGGCTTGAACTCAGGGCCTGGGTACTGTCCCTTTGCTCAAAGCTAGCGTACTACCACTTTGAGCCATAGCTCCACTTCTGGTTTTTGGGTGGTTAGCTGGAGATAAAAGAGTTTCAAGGACTTTCCTGCCCAGGTTGGCTTTGAACTGTGATCCTCAGATCTCAGCCTCCAGAGTAGCTAAGATTACAAGCATGAGCCACTAGCGGCTAGCTCTTTCCTGATCAAGGCTCTTGTTCATGACTTAGTTTAGCTTCCAGCTGCCTGGGTCAGTGTCCCCCTTGAGCCCTGGCGCTGCGCCCAGCACAGCCCTGGGGGGCCATGTGGAACAGTTGTCCTTCCTGAGGACAAGAACAGAACACCACCACCTGAGCACTCAGTGTCACAAGCCAGGCCTCTTGAGATGCCTGAGATCTGATCAAACCTTTACTCAGGAGATTTTCACTCATTGTCATTTAAGAAACAAGGTGGCAGGTGCCTGTAGCTCCAGATACTCTGGAGGCTGAGACAGGAGGCTCACAGGAGCCTAGAAGTTCAAATCTAGCCTGGGCAACATAGTGAGCTTCCATAAACAAAGGAATAAATAGATAAACAACCAAATGCAACAAACATAATGATATGCTTATAGCCTCTGAAGTCATTTCAGAAAGAAACTTAAAAAAAATACAAAAATCAACACTCTTGGGGTGGGGTGGGGTAGAAGACTGGGGACTGACTACCACTGATCACCTACTGAGCACCTGCAAGTGGCTCATGCTTCAGGTACTTTCTATATAGAAAAATGACATAGAATGACTCGTGGTCATTCGGCTAGTAGAGGCTGTGGAGCTAGCAGATAATGACCAAAATTGCTGGAGAAACTTTGCCCAGGATCCAGAAACCGTATAAAGCAGGGGACATTTGGATTGTACACATCGCCAGTTATTACTCCCGTCTTAGGAATGTGGAATCAAGGCTCAAAGAGGTGAAGGAACTTTCCCAGAGCCATACAGCTAGTATGCACCAGTGCTGGGAAGCAAGCCCGAATCTCTCAGGCCTTAAGTCCTGCATCCTCTCCATGAATCAGCAGAACCAGGCAGTAGAGTGGGCCAAAGGACAGAGGCAGACCCCACCCCTCACCTGGGGCACAAGGTCCTACTGCTAAGGCAGAAGACGGAAATCCAGTGACCTGCCACCCTTACCGGCTGTGATGGCCACGGTGGTGGACAGGATGTAGCCCACGCTGGCAATCAGGGAAGAGTCATAGATCTGTGAGGCTTGACTTAGAAACCTGCAACATGCAACACACAGTGCTCAGGTCAATGGGCTGTGGGGACAGCAGAAGGCTGAGGGGAAAGCCACAAAGATGGGCTTGGCTTGCAGTGTGAAGTGGAGGCACAAAGGTGGTTCCTGGTTTTATAAGACGTTTTTGTCTTGTTTACAGGGTACTGAGCACCTGAGGTCTGGGTTCCACCTGCCCTCCCCACACCTGCCTTCAATCACATGGCTCTGACCCCCTGAATGCTCTTCTCCTCTCCCTGGACCCTCAGCCCACTAAATACAGCCACTCCTGGGTCTGGCTCACAATCCAGACATTCTCTTATTTCTACCTGGCCCACCATTGTGATTACTTCCTTAAAACATGATCTGCCTAATTAAAAAATAATGTGATCACTGCAATAAAAATTGGAGAAAGATGGGGCTGGGAAGGTGGCTCAGTGGTAGAGCACTTGCCTTGCATCCATGAGGCCCCGGGTTTGATTCCTCAGCACCACATAAGCAAAAAGCTGGAAGTGGCGCTGTGGCTCAAGTGGTAGAGTGCTAGCCTTGAGCTGAAGAGCTAAGGGACAGTGCCCAGGCCCAGAGTTCAGGCCCCACGACCGGAACCCCCAAAAAAAATTTGGAAAAAGAAAGCTGGGCACCAGCAGCTCACGCCTATAATCCTAGCTACTCAGGAGGCTGAGATCTAAGGATCTCGTTTCAAAGCCAGCCTGGGCAGGTACATCTAGAAAACAGGAAGTGGCGCTGTGGCTCAAGTGGTAGAACGCTTACTTTGAGCTGAAGAACTGAGGAACAGCGCCCAGGCCCAGAGTTCAATCCCCATGACTGACAAAAAAAAGGAAAAAGAAGATGAAAATAATTTCTAATCTCTGCAGGCATGATGGAAACTACCTTAATGTGGGAACAGATTCTTTGCCCTTCTCCAGGTGGCATTCAGCTTGATACTTCATAGCTGCTCACTTTGTCTCTTTATGGATTTATTGTGCCCCCAGCTGCAGGACCACAAGTCTCTTTTGAGGACAAAGACCAGAGCCCTGTGAGCCAAGGATGGATGATTGGGAGATGAGAAGTTTCTAGGAGGTAGCAGGCCCCCTGGTCTCCTGAGTGAACCCAGAACTCTACACAGAACTGTGTACTTGGCAGGGCTCCCAAGTATGTCTGCAATTTTGTCCCAGTACTAAAACGAATAATAGTCAATAGGAAGTTGGGTACTGGTGGCCCATACCCGTGATCCTAGCTACTTAGGAGGCCGAGAGCTGAGGATTATGGTTTGAAGCCAGTACAGGAAGAAAAATCTGTGAGAAAGAAAAAGAAAGAGGAAGAAAAGTCTATGAGATCTCCAATTAACCAGTAAAAAGCTAGAAGGAGAGCTATGGCCCAAGTGGTAAAGCACTAGCCTTGAGTGAAAACACCAAGCGAAGGCACGAGGTCCTGAATTCAAGTCTCAGGACTGGCATACACAAAAAAACAAACAAACAGTCCACAGAGCAGTAATAACAACTACTGTGAGTGCCTCCAAAAGCTGAGCTGTGAGACCCAAAAGGATTGGGAGGATGGAAGGCCTCCTCCCAACATAAACTCTTAGAACGCTGAGAGTTTCCCAAAAAGGTCAACCAGTCCTGGCTTGGAGGGAATTTCCACACCAAGTTTTCTGGGAACTTGCGGATAGACAAAAATCTATGCTACTTGCTAAGTCATTTACTGCTTACACCTGCTTCTGAAGATAAGTTATTTGTCACTTGAGTGGGAATATACCACTTGATTAGTGCTTGTTGACTTCAAGGACATGTGACCTCAATCTGCATGTACGCCCTTGTACCCTACTCAATAAATACCTTGTAGAGTAGACACAGGACACCCGAGGCTGCTGGAAGACGTCAGGCCCCTGGTGCCTCAAACCTCAATTCCTCCATCTGGTGTCCATTACTGTCTTGTCCCTGATTGCCGCAAGTTGTGACAAACCATCATCACAAGAGCCCTGCTGGGCTGCGCGAGTCTCCTGTGACTCTCAGGAGAACTGAGGAGAGGGGCTGAGCAGTGAGGGGCGTGAGAGGGGCGTGGCCAGGAGCCAGCACCTGGGTTCAGCTCTGCCACTTCCCAGCCTCGGCCTCTGGCTCAGTTCCCCATATGCAGCTATGGGGACGATGTCCTCTTCCTCCACAGGGTGCTATGGGGACTGGATGTACAGATGAGCCCCTCGAGGAACTTCAGCCCAGAGCCTCCAACCCCCAAGGATGCTGGATGCTGAGCCAAGCCCGACCTTCCAGGCTGGCTTGGCCTCACACCCCACCCAAGTCCTTTGCACCTATGCAGGCTGCCACCTGCATTATTCCTAGAAGGGCTGCTGTCTTCCTGCCCCTCAGCCAGGTGCTGGGCTCAGCTGTGAGCACACACAGGTCCTGCCCTCAGGTCAGCTTGTTTTACTCTCCAATCATGCTTAGAGAGAGAAGCAAGCATGCACTCTTCTGATGGGGAGATTCGGGGGAGATTTCGTGAGTAGATAAGCAAGTGCCTCTCAGAGGGCAAAGCTGTAGAAGCCACCGAGCTGGACAGATGTCTCCTGAGAGACACTAGGAAGGAAGGCTACCCCCTGAGCATACACCTCTCACTTTTATTCCCTTCCCACCCCAGTACAAGGACTTGAATTCAGGGTAGCCCCTTAGCTTTTTCACTAAAGGCTGGTGCGCTCCCATTTGATCCATACCTCCATTTCTGGCTTTTTACTGGTTAATTGGAGATAAGAGTCTCTTGGACTTCCCTATCCAAGTCGGCTTCAAACCACAATCCTCAGATTTCAGCCTCTTGAGCAGCTAAGATTGCACACGTGAACTACTGGCACCTGCCCAATGCTCACATTTTTTTGTGTATGTGAGTCATGGGGCTTGAACTCTGGGCTTGTGTGCTGTCCCTCAATTCTTCAACTCAAGGTGAGTACTCTATCACTTAAGCCACAGTGCCACTTCTGGTTTTCTGTTGGTTAATTGGAGATAAGAGTCTCACGAACTTTCTTGCCTTGGCTGCCTTTGATCCATGATTCTCGGATCTCAGCCTCCTGAGTAGCTAGGATTACAGGCGTGAGCCACAGATGCCTGGCAATACTCACATTTTGAAGCTGGGGGTGGGGGTGGGGGGGGTGAAATCCATTGGGACCTTGATTTTGAAGCAGCCCAGCCCCTGGCTACTCCTCTCCCCACCCTGGATGCCAAACCCTGCCTGTTTTTCCTTCTCTGCCACTTCACAAGCAACCAGAATCAGGCCCAGGGAATGGGACAGACCTGAGTCCCACAGGGAAAGGATCTGGAACTCACGCGGCTTGGTAGACGGCGGTGGCCACCATGCACACAAACATCACGTAGAAGATGGGGTAGTCGAGCTGCAGGTTCCCTTGAATGGACAGGACCAGCATCCCAGCCACAGCCTTCACCGTCACCACCGTCATGGAGCCTACAGATGGCACACAGGTATAAGCAACCTCAGGGAAAGGCAGGGAGACAGGCCCTGAGAGTTGGTTTATCCTGAGGAAGCTGAAGCTGATGTCAGATGGGAGGAAACCTTGGCAGAGCCAGCCTGGAGATTTACCCGTTCCCTGTGCTGACCAAGAAGGCAGGAAAGCAAACCGCCCACAGCTATCAATGGTCACTTGTAAACACCACCACAAGTGGGCGCTAAGTGCGCTATGTGCAGGTGTGGGCTCAACAAACCCAGGCGCTGGTGGAGACCACAAGAATCTTGGATGGACAAGGGGGACTTCTTTTGAGCATAGCCTCATGGCAATCATAGCAAAACCACATGGTGTGTGAAGTCAGGAGCTGGTGCTTGGTAATGCTTGCATACATACAGTTTTGAAAATCTTTTGGTTGTTTTGTATGGGAGCTTGCACGCAGGGCCTTTTGTTCTCATTTGACTTTTTCCTTCAGGGTTGGCACTCTACCATGAGTCACAGCTTCACTTTTAGCGTTTTGGTGGTTATTGGAGAGAAGAGTCTTACTGAGTTTTCGGCTGGCTTTGAACTGCTATCCTCAGATTTCAGCCTCCTGAGTAGCTGGGATTACAGGCATGAGCCATGGGTACTCGGCTCTGAAAATACTTCTTAACTCCAAGAGGTCTCCAGTGTTTTTGCAGCATATCCCTACGGATACACTCATACATACATGGGCTTATTTATTTCCAAAGGGTGGGCATGTGACACATGGACTTGAGAAAGATGGCCTGGAAGTGTAATTTCAAAGGGGAAGAACAATGATACAAGTTTTGAGGCTTTTTTCCCCACACATGCAGTGGATGGTCTTGCTCACTCTACATGGAGACCTGGCTTTGCCATGGGACAGAAATGGCTTCTACCTGCATCAATCATATCTCTGCCAAGCAGGAGCTAAATGAAGTGACCCCAATTGTGTGTGTGTGTGTGTATATATATATGTACACACATATATGTGTGTATATACGTGTGTATATATGTACATATATATGTGTACATATATATATACACATATATACACACACATATACATATGTACATATATACACACACACACACAAAAGTCCCTTCCTGAGGCCACACTGCTTTGCTTCCCACTCCCGTGAGCAGCCCCCTGAGCAGCACCTTCTGGGACCTGAGGTCATTATACTACAGTTTTCAGCCCCAGCCAGACCCACATCACAGGCTGTCCCGTGCATGGAAGGGGACGGGCCCACAGCCTCCGCACCTGCCGACCTTCCTACTCAGAAGAAGCTGCTTCAGTAGCCAGGTGTTGGTGGCTCATGCCTGTAATCCTAGCTACTCAGGAGGCTGAGATGTGAGGATCGCAGTTCAAAGTCAGCTTAGGCAGGAAAGTCCGTGAGACTCTTATCTCCAATAAACAATCAGAAAACCAGAAGTGGTGCTGTGGCTCAAGTGGTAGATCTCTTGCCTTGAGCTGAAGAGCTGAGGGACAGCATCCAGGCCCAGAGTTCAAGCCCCACGACCACCAAAAAAAAAAAAAAGTGCTTCAGGCTGCAGGTTCTTCCAACTACTCTGAATAAGTCTCTTGGGTTTAAGAACATTATACTCTGGGAGAAAAGTTGATCCATTCGATTTTTGTAAGATGTTCAAAAAGGCAAATCTAAAGGCACTTGATGAGTGGGTCTGGGAGGAAGGAGGCCTGCGGAGGAGCTATCATTGGGCACAGTGTTTATTTCTGGGGTGACAAAAATGTTCTAAAGTTAGATTGGGATGATGGCTGCGTAGCTCTGTGAATATACCAAAACTCACTGATTTGTATACGGCGCCTAAGTTTTACCTCAATAAAACTATTTTAAAAAGTAAATTAAAGCCAGGCACTGGTGGCTCACGCCTGTAATCCTAGCTACTGAGGAGGCTGAGATATGAGGATCATGGTTCAAAGCCAGCCTGGGCAGAAAAGTCTGTGAGACTCTTATCTCCAATAAACCATTAGAAAACCGGAAGTGGCACTGTGGCTCAAGCGGTCGAGTGCTCGCCTTGAGCTGAAGAGCGCAGGGACAGTGCCCAGGCCCAGGCCCAGAGTTCAAGCCCCACAACCAACAAAAAAAAAAAAAAAGAAGTAAATTAAAATAGTGTGAGCCTATCAGCCGTGACAGGCATCTGAGTAGCTTACAGGGTGTGGGGCAGGGAGCAAGGGGAAGGTGGAAGACTCATACTGGGTACTGCAGCTCATCTCCCATAGCCCCTTGCTCCTCTCCTGGCCTGCTGTTTTTAGGGTGAGGATGATGTGGCTTAAAGAGACAGAGCCCATGGAGGAGAATGGAGCGAGCAGGAGGCAGCCAGGGGTCCCCAAGCCTATCTGGTTCATGGAGTGACGGGCAGCAGTGTGTCCTTCCTTCAAATTGACCATCACCTCCAAAGAACCCATCCTCCTCAAAGGAAAGAAGAAACCTCGAGTCCTAATTCCTCAGGAGGCTGAGATCTGAGGACTGTGATCCCAAGCCAGCCCAGGCAGAAACGTCAGTGAGACTCTTATCTCCAATTAAAAACCAAGAAAAAGCCAGAATAGGAGCTGTGAGTCGAGTGGTAGAATGCTAGCTTTGAGCAAAAAAAACTTAGACAGTGCCCAGGCCCTGAGCTTAAGCCCCACGACTGGCACCAAAAATAAACAAATAAATGAATGGATAAATAACCAAATAAGAAAAGGGTAGAGAAGGAGAAAGAGAATGTAAAATCTACTAGCCTTGGACTCTGGGACGCCGCAAGGTAGGGCATGCTTGCTAGCTCTGCTCACATCTCGGAGATGACCTCTGACCTCGCCTCCCTTCCTGTGGTTGCTAGGCTCCCACTAACATGTCCTGTACGTGCCACCCTCCTTTCAGAATGGAGGTTCTGGAAGATGCGGGGGCATGTCCACCTCACTCACCAGTGACTGCAGTCCTTGGGGTATTGTTTTTTGTCACCATGGGGCTTGAACTCTGGGCTTGGGCACTGTCCCTGAGCTCTTCAGCTCAAGGCTAGTGCTCTACTACTTGAACCACAGCGCCACTTCCAGTTTTCTGGTGGTTAACTTGAGATAAGAGTCTCATGGACTGGGGCTGGGATGGTGGCTCAGTGGTAGAGCTCTTGCCTTGCATGCCTGAGGCCCTGGGTTCGATTCCTCAGCACCACATACGCAAAAAAGAAAAAAGCTGGAAGTGGCACTGTGGCTCAAATGGTAGAGCGCTAGCCTTGAGCTGAAGAGCTGAGGGACAGTGCCCAGGTCCAGAGTTCAGGCCCCACGACTGGACCCCCCCCCCAAAAAAAAGAGTCTCACAGACTTTCCTGTCCGGGCTGGCTTTGAACTGCAATCTTCAGATCTCAGCCTCCTGAGTAGCTAGGCTTACAGGCATGAGCCACTGGTGCCTGGCAGTTCTTGTTTTTGTTTTTTGAGAAAAAATACTGGAAATTGTGGCAGCCGCCTCCTCTCATCAAGAACCCCTGCTGAGTGACCCTTCCCCTCCTCTACCCACCCCCTGCCCCCTGCCCCCAGGTTGGCCTTGAACAGCTTCTGTCTTTAAACCCCACTGGCCAGTTCCCTGCTTACCAAGTAAGGCCACCAAGAGGAGAATCACGATGATGTTGTTGGCATTCTTCTCCTTGTAGAAATACAGGAGCAGGCAGAACAGCACGATCTCCACCAGCTAGACACAGAGTGCAGCAAGGACTGGTTGGTGGGTGCCCCAGGGAGGAGGCGGGGCTGCTGGGGAGGGCGGGGCACCAGGGCTGGGGGGGTGGGGCATCATTAGCATCCACTGGAGCACCTGGCCTTTCCCAGTGAATGGCAGAGATAGGCTGGAGAGAGGGTAAGCTGAGAGAATCTGCCCTGGCACAGAAGGGTTCCCTGTCCAACTTTCCTAGAGCTGGGGGTGGGGATGGGGCAAACCTTCTGACTCAGATGGCTAGGACAGTCCCCCTTCACTGCTCCCAGGTGTCCCCCTGAGACTGGGGAGGAGGGGGGGGAGAAGGGTTTCAAGGACAGTTGCTCACAGAGTAAATTGGTCAAAAATACACTCACAGCCCCTCTCCAGCCAAGCTTAGGTGTGCCCACTTTATAGTAGAAAGAGGAAGGCAATTGCTGGGTGTGATTGCGCATGCCTGTAATCCCAGCATGCAGTGGAAGCTGAGGCAGGAGGATTAAGAGTTCAAGGGCAATGTGGGCTAATAATAAACTCAATCTCTGATGATGATGATGATGATCATGTACAATGGGTTGGAGAACCACGGTGACCCTGGATTTACCTCTGAACTAGCTGGGATAGTCTAGTCCTTGGCTACTTCCTCTGTGACTACAGGGCTATAGTCCAGGCTTACGCTGAATGAACTAATGTAGGCCACGCCTCATGCTGTGCATTTTACCTTTGTTAAACTCATTACATAAGCACAGTAATTTGGTGATGTAGTGGCAGCCACAACCCCATGGTAGCAGGATTTGAACCTGGCTCCAGGGCCCACACACCTTCCCAGTAGGCCATGCTGCAGAAACTCTAGGAGACATGACTACAAGCTGCTTTGAGAACCTTCCCCACCCCCTACACCAACAATGTGCCCTTTCTACTGCTTAAAAGGTTCATCAGCACTGCCCTGGGCAGTGCAGTGGCACCAAGGTGGAAAGCTGATTGTGGGCTCCGAGTCCCTACCAACTCAGAAGCATGAATGGGCATTTTGAGGAGAAAGAGTTTTAAAATCCCTGGTAATTACAGACCAAAACACAGCTGTTTCATTTCCCTGTTTCTCCTGGGCTTTGTTCCAGGGAACACATATTTCATCTAGTTACCATCAGATGCAATTTCTTCTTCCTCTCCCCTTCCCTCCCCTCCCTGCCTTTTGTCCTTCTTTTTATTTGTGCTGGTACACAGCTCCAGGGGAGAGCCATCTCTTACCATGTACAGGAGAAAAGGCCAGCTCACGAGGTGCCTCGTGATATTCTCGCCTGTCATCTTCTCATGGCTGTTGGGTGCGAATGTCACCAGCAGGTAGGTACCCACGATTGCCAAGCCACAGCCCACGAAGGACAAAACATAGCGTCCTGCAGGGAAGAAGGGTGGTCAGAGGACCACGCAGGGGCAGAGCACGAGGCACCTGGCAGGGGAAGAGTGCAGTACACCAATACCAAGCGCTTGGTTTTTGTTTTGCTTTTTGCTGGTCCTGGGGGGTTAAACTCAGGGCCTGGGCGCTGTCCCTGAGCTTTTTGCTCAAGATTAGCATTCTACTACTTGAGCTATAGCTCCACTTCCAGCTTTTTTAGATCATTTATTGGAGACAAGAGTCTCAAGGACTTTCCTGCCCAGGCTGGCTTTGAACCATGACCCTCAGATCTCAGCTTCCCAGTAGCTAAGATTACAGCATGAGCCACCAATGTCTGGCGTTTGATAACCTTTAAAGAAGTATGACATGGGTACAAACAGTGCTCGTTGAATTCTCACAAAGTGACGTGGGTCAACACACATAGGTATAAGCATATCCATCAGGAAAGAAGAAACTGAATTCCTCACTTGTACCCTTTCCAATCTCAGAGTACACCCCAGCCTGAAGCGGCCTTAACTCCAACCATTCTGATGGTTTTGTCCTTTACATAAATGGGGTCCATGTGCATGGTCAGTGTGTTTGTGGGGTGCCTCTTTGTTGTGTGTCGCGCTAGCTTATTCAACTCCACTACTGAACTGTGGCTCTGTGTGACTATGACACAATTTACACATTCTGCCACTGGCGGGCATCTGAAGGGCTACCAGTCTTGGGCTATGATGTTGCTGTGTGCGTCACCTGGCACTGTGTGTGTTTCCTGGGTCATGGGGTGTGTGCAGGTTGGGTTTGGCAGCTTTCCAATCTCCACTCCCTTCAGTGGAGTAGAAAGTCTGGTTGCATCTCTCATTTGGGATGAGCTGGGGTTTTTTTGTCAGGCATGGTGCTTGAATTCAGGGCCTGGGTGCTGTCCCTGAGCCTCTTTGTGCTCAAGGCTAGTTGTCTACTACTTTGAGCCACAGAGCCATTTTCAGTTTTTGAGTGGTTAATTGGAGGTAACAGTCTCACGGGGACTTTTCTGCCCAGGCTAGATTTGAACCACGATCCTTAGATCTCAGCCTCCTGAGTAGGTAGGATCACAGGTGAGAGACACCGATACCTAGCATGAGATTTTTTTTTCTTTTTTCTTTTTTTGACAGTCCTGGGTCTTGAACTCAGAGCCAGGGTACTGTCCCTGAGCTTCTTTTGCTCAAGGCTAGCACTCTATCACTTGAGCCACAGCGCCACTTCTGGCTTTTTCTGTTTATGTGGTACTGAGGAATTGAACCCAGGGCTTCACGCATGCTAGGCAAGCACTCTACCACCAAACCATATAACCAGCCCTGAAATGATTTTATAACAAATAAAAAAGTAGGGGCAGAAAAATGAAGACTGGGGTCATGGGCCTGGACTTACTCAGGAAGTCTCTAGGCTTCCATTTTTCCTTGATGAATATGATTCCTATGATGGCGCTTGCTGAAACAAAGCAGAGAGCAGAGAAGTGAGGTTGTTGTCTGAGCTGCCTGCCCCACCCACCCACACTCCTGGGGTCCCCCCCTCCAATGCAGACTGGCTGGATGCTTCCTAACCCCTCTCTCCGGCCCACTGAGCACTGTGGGCTGAGCACCAGTGGTGTGGCAGGTGCAATTACACCATTACTTCGGGGACATCCACCCTTGGAAGTGGCTTCTAGTTAGTCCTATTTGACAAATGGGGACACTGAGGCTGAAAAGAGGTGAAGGACCCATCCCTAATTGTTTAGCTAGGCTGGAAAGGTAAGATTTGAACCCAGGGCTGCTGAAGTCAAGGGCTCTAGCGCCTTCCACTCAAACACCCAGCCATGGTTTTCTCTTCCTGCCTTCTTCCCCATTCACAAGTATCTCCCTGCAAGTGTCACGCAGGGCTGGTTAAACTGGCCAGGCCCCGGCTCCTCTGCACCTCAGGTCTCTAGTCTATGTGGGAATGTGCTGCATCCAGCTGCTCTGGCTTGCTGACACACAGCAAGAAACAGACAACTGATTTGCTACATAAACCAGCAAGCACTACAAATACTATACCCTTTCCTCCTTTCCCTCTCTCCATGCTTTCTTCCTCCTCCTCCTCCCAATCCGTCTTCTTGGCAGTGCTAGACAGGACCTCTGGGACTTGCCCTGGCTACACAAGCACTCTACCACTTACGCCACGCCTCAGACTCCTCTTTTTCTTCTGTCTCTCTTCTTTGAGAGACACTGAAAACTTCTTTGAGACACCACTGAAAACAACTACTTCTCTGACTCCCAGGAGCAAACTACTGGCATACAACCAACACTCAACGTGAACTGGAACTATAGTGAAACATCTGGAATGTTCACGGAAGGGTCACAGGTGGCCAGTGAGTGGCCAAGGGGTGGGAGAAAGGAATAGAAATTCTTGTAAGTTTTCTGGCTTTCACCCAAGTCTGGAGCCAGAGGGCCAGCCCCTGTGTGATATAGGGGAAAATAACTCTACCTCTCTGTGCCTGTTTCCTCATCTGGAAAATGGGGGTGGGGAGAGGACTGGTCTCTCCCTAGACAGGTTTCTGGAAGGGCTGGAAGGACGCAGATCTGTAAGGGGCTCAGCGCAGTGCTGGTGTGGTGCAAAGTTCTTTGTATGAGGCTAGCTGATTGCCAAAGCAAAAACCTTCTGTTCAGTGAGAGAAGGTTCTGGAAGGCCTCACACAGCAGGGGTGGTCCTGGCAGGATGGCCAGGACTTACCTATCACGGAGACGGCACTGAGGGGCACGATGAGCGAGAGCGGGGCGAAGGCGTAGGAGGCAAACACACCCAGCTCGCCCAGCAGCATGAGGATCAGGCCGAGCCACCATGTCTTGGTCTTGAAGTAGGCACGAGGATCCTTGCAGCCTGCCAGGCGGATGTGGCAGTATTTCTAGAAGGCCGAGAAGAAATTTGATTTGTCCACGCTCTGAGAAAATAACTCGGTGATGAATGTACCCTGTCAACACCCCGGTTTTAAAAATAATTTGCTAATGAAGAGGGGGTGAACGAGGACGTGTGGGCTCAGACTGGTTTAGCTGCTGTAGAAACCTGTTGAAATTGCTCTAAGAGCGGAGGAGGGTGGATGGAGTGGGAGGTTGATCAGGATACCTGGGATCTGTGGGGGGACTTACAATGAAGCCCCTCTGGCATGACTAATGTCGGATCATTAAACATACTTTGGGGGGGCTGGGAAGGTGGCTCAGTGGTAGAGTGCTTGCCTTGCATGCCTGAGGCCCTGGGTTCGATTCCTCAGCACCACATAAGCAAAAAGAAAAAAAGCCGGAAGTGGCGCTGTGGCTCAAGTGGTAGAGCGCTAGCCTTGAGCTGAAGAGCTGAGGGACAGCACCCAGGCCCAGAGTTCAGGCCCCACGACCAGACCCCCCCAAAAAAATACTTTGGGAAGTTGGGCGCTGGTGGCTCACGCCTGTAATCCCAAATACTGAGGAGGCTGAGATCTGAGGATCATGGTTCAAAGCCAGCAAAGTCTATGAGACTCTTATCTCCACTAAAACTACCAAAGAAAGCTGGAAATGGAGCTGTAGCTCAAGTGGTAGAGCGCTAGCCTTGAGCACAAAAACTCAGGGACAGCACCCAGGCCCAGAGTTCAAGCCCCAGGACTGGCAAAAAAAAAAAAAATGCTGGGAAGCCTTGCAAATGTTGTTAGAGTTCTCACTCAGAGCAGGAACAGCTGCTTGTTCAGGTCGGCTGTCCTCCAAATAGCCCAGCAGCAGCCACGGCAGCAGCGGCCACGGCAGCAGTGGCCACAGCAGCTGCTGCTGTGGCTGCAGCTTCTTCTTCTTCTTCCTCCTTCTCTTCCTCCTCCTTCTTTCTTCCTCCTCCTCCTCCTTCTTCTTTCTTAAATTTTCCAGTTGTGGGACTTGAACTCAGGACCTGGGCACTGTCCCTGAGCTCTTTTACCCAACACGAATGCTCTACTACTTTGAGCCACAGCTCTACCCTTTTTCTTTTCTTCCTTCTGCCCCTCCATTCTTACCTCCCTCCCTTTGTTTCCTCCCTACCTGCCTCTCTCCCTCCCCTTCTTTCCTTAGAGAGGGTCTCACTATGTAGTGCAGACTGGCCTTGAACTCATACTCCTACACCTACCTCAGGCTCCGAGTTGGAGGGGTTCCAGCTGTGAACCACCACACCCTTGCTTTTCTAATGCACATCACATGCAGTGGTGCACTCTGGCTCCTGGCTCTATCTTGGGCTGCTATGAGCAGACAGGCCCAAGGGCTGTGGGGTGGGGCCCCCTAGCTGCTGCTACAGCTCCATCAGACTAGTATCAGACTTGAACTTGCCATGTTAACCATTGCAGCAGCAAGCATGAGAGTGGTGGGTGAGGCCGGAGCCAGGCTGCCCAGTTAGGCAGTCACTGTGTGACCTGATTGTGGCAGACCTAAGTGAGGGAGAGCTCATGGCCAGGGGTGAGTGGCACCAAATCCAGAGAGATTCTGGAACAGCCCTGGGGCTGCGGGTACAAACAGAGAGGAGGATGCTGGACCTGGACAAGATACCCACTTACCCGTTGTATCTGTGCCCCAACAGTGCTGGTGACAGGGACTCACCTGGAGATTAAGGGCAATGCTGACTACGAGGTGCCCAAAAATTGCCAGGAGGGCGCCAATCAAGTTTTCCTAGAAGGAAATTTAACACAGCAGATGTGAGTTGTGACTCAGCCAAGCGGACCTCTGGTGCCAAATGTTTACTGACCCCCAACAATCCTGAAGAACAATGCCCATCAGCCCCGCCCCCATCCCAGGCCCTCAATAGAGAACAAATTTAATACCTCAGGCTAATCCCGCTGTGTTGCCTGATCACAAAATAGCTGGGCTTGGTTGCAACCCCGCTATTCCACCTTTGGTCACAAAGATCTGATAAGGTCTTACTCGGCCCTGATCCTCCTTGCCACGTGAGGGTGCTACCATCTTGCATAGAGAAGTGGCACTTGCAAGAGAAACCCAGGCTGGTTACTTTGCATCAAGGGAGTCTTCATATTCCCAGTGGGGCGCGGTGACCTACTTGCTCAGGGGATTGTCAATTATTTAACTTCTAAAAAGTTAATTCTGGTACTGGTGGCTCCTAATAGTAATCCTAGCTACTCAGGAGGCTGATATCTATAGGATTGTAGTTTGAGGCCAGCTTGGACAGAAAATGTCCAGGATACTTCATCTTCAATTGACCAACAAAAAGCCACCACGAGCAAAAAAAGAATAAACAAGAGTGCCAGACCCTGAGTTCAAACCCTGTAAAACTCAACTCATGTCATTATATTAGTGATTTTAATCATGAGACTCTTTATCTTTAATTAACCAGCAAAATGCCAGAAATGGAGCTGTGGCTCAAGTGGTAGAGCAGTAGCCTTGTACAAAAAAGCTCAAGGACAGAGTCCAGAACCTAGTTCAAGCACCAGGACTGGTGCGTGTGTGCACGCGTGCACATACCCACATACCCCCAACACACACACACACACACACACACACACACACACACACAACGACCAAAAAAAAAAAAAAGTGGAACAAGCCAGGCACTGGTGGCTCATGCCTGTAATCCTAGCTACTCAGGAGGCTCAGATTTGAGGATTGGGGTTCAAAGCCAGCCCAGGCAGGAAAGTCCATGAGACTTATCTCCAATTAGCCACCAGAAAACTGAAAGTGGAAGTGGCGCTGTGGCTCAAGAGGTAAAGCGCTCACCTTGAGCTGAAGAGCTCAGGGACAGCACCCAGGCCCACAGTTCAAGCCCTATGACTGACCAAAAAAAAGCAGCGGAGCAAGAGCTTGAGGCCCTGAGTTCAAGCCCTAGTACTTACTCGCTAAACTCATGAGAATAATGAAGCCCAAGTCCTGAGTTCAGGGAAACAGATCTCTTTATTGTCACATATCTCAGGGCCTTAAGCATATAGAAATCCCCCTCCTCCCTGGCAACCGGTCATATTACTACTAGAATGTGTCAGGTATAATAAACTCAGCTGTGGGCTGGGCCAGGCTGGTCATACAGATTAGAAATGAGAAAGATGATGATGATGACAAGCAGAAACACATACCAAGCACTTAATATATGCTAAGTCTATACACTTCATACATATTAACTCACTTAATCATCATAAGGCAGAGACTATTTTTATCTAATTTTACAGTGAGGAGACTAAGGCACAGGTGCACAGAGGCTGAGCAGGTCTGGAACCTGGGCAGTCTAACACCAGAGGCCAGGCTCTTAACTATTATGTCCAGCTATGGACTGTCTAAAGCTCTAGAATGGCGTGTGGACCAGAGCAGGCATGATGCATAGTGGGAGATGTCAGGGAAGGGCAGCTTTCTTCTTTTTTTTTTTTGGTCGGTCGTGGGGCTTGAACTCTGGGCTTGGGTGCTGTCCCTGAGCTCTTCAGCTCAAGGCAAGAGCTCTACCACTTGAGCCACAGCGCCACTTCTGGTTTTCTGGTGGTTAACTGGAGATAAGAGTCTCACGGACTTTCCTGCCTGGGCTGGCTTTGAATCATGATCCTCAGATCTCAGGTGTGAACCACCAGCACCCAGCTAGGGCAGCTGCTTTCTGAACCAATGTCTCCCAGACTTGTGCAGAACACATGGTGCCACGGCCTGCTAGTGCAAGGCAAGTCAGGGCAGCATCGGGACGCTGTCCCACCCAGTGCCTGGTTTGTGTCAGGCCCTGTCCTTGTGCCCACATTGTGAATAGCAGATAATTAACTGTCTCATCTCACTGGGGTCAGCACACCCCAAGAGGCACAGGCCTACCTGACCTCAGATCTGGTGAGGGATGACTCTCAATGGAGACCAGAAGACCCATGGCCGGAATGAGCCTAGGCTGGGGTGGGGAAACTGACCCTGGGAAAATGGGCTCTAAGAAGAAGGCAGGCCAGGGCAGATGGAAGGAGACCACAGCAGATAGAGAAGGCTCAAAAGGACACGGAGAGGGCTCTTCTCTCCTTTCTTCGAGAGTCTGGAAACAACAGGATGCTTTGAGTGATGCCATTTGGTCCATCCATCTTCCTCTGCCTTCTCCTCTCTCCTCTCTCCCAAGGACAAAGGCCAGCCTCTTCTGACCAGGACCCCAGACTCCTGTGCAGGGCCTTTGGGGACACTGTCTTTAGGGACTGGAGCACACCACCACATTCCTTTTCATTTGCTCATATCTCATCTTTCACAATATATTTTCAAAGAAACATTTTATCAAAGAAATATTTATCCCATAAATATTCTTCTGACACCTTGCTTGGGGTTGGGAAATGACCAGGAAACCAAGTCGGAGAGTTTCAAAGTTTTGTGTTCCTGGGGGGTTTAGGACACCCACTGAAGGAATGACTCTCCTCCCCTCTGTCCTCTGAGGTCCTGCTGTGGTGTGATGTCACCATGGGACACGGGGCGCTGCTGGGAAGTTCTGCAGACTGACTGCACAGAGGTGCAAACAATAAAGACTAATTTGCTAATTAGATGATTTTCCAACTCTATTCTCTGAGTGAAGAGTGAAATCTGTAGCTATAAATAGGTTCAAAATAAAAGCATTTATAATTAAAAGCTTTATACACACACACACACACAGACTTCAGCGGCTCATCCTCATCATCCTAGCTACTCGAGGCTGGTCCACAGGATTGCGGTTTGAGGCCAGCCTGGTATAAACAAATAAACCCTATTCAGGGCAGGAGGTGTGAATACCATCAGAGTATGCACAAGGTCCCGAGTTCAAATCCTGGTACCACCAAAAATGAGGGGGAGGGTAGTTTCATATGGTGCAACCCATACCTGCTAGCCACTATTCTTTTTATCCAGGGGCCAAGTTGTCCTCTGACATGGCTGACTGATAGGGAGGAGCTCATACCATTTTTCTGGGAATGGATGGAGTGGAGGGAGGCTGGAACTGAAAGCTGTGAATCCCACAAGGACCAGCGAACGTCAGCAGCAAAAACTGCTTACCATGATAACATGGCTGGTATTTATCGTGCTCATAACAGGTCAGGTGTGGCCCAGGCCCTTTCCAGCATTTTCTTTGGATCACAGACCAGTTGAGGTAGTAGCTACCACAGGTCCTCTTGTTCATATGTAAGCTGGGGGGAATTACAGATGAACAGGGTCAGCCCCAAGGACATGGAGTAACCATGGTAACAAGGGTGAGGATGGGAGGATTTGAAACCAGATGCTGGACTTCCAGGCCCCAAGTGACAGTGATACTGCTGGACAGTCTCCATGGTGACCTGAGGGTCATTCATGGGGCATGAAGTAAACTAGGAAAACTTTGACCCACTTTGTAAACACTGGGCTCCTACTAACCACACAGGCAGCCAAAGTAAGGTGTGTGTGTGTGTGTGTGTGTGTGTGTTGGTAATGGGGCTTGAACTTAGGGCTTCCCACTATCCTTTAGCTTTTTCACTCAAGGCTGGAGCTCTATCTCTTAAGCCACAGCTTTCTCTTTTTTTAGTGTTTATTGGAGGTTAGAGTCTCATGGGCTTTCGGATCCAAGTTGGCTTCAAACGTCAGTCCTCAGATCTCAGCCTCCTGAGTAGTTAGCATTACAGGTGTGACCCACCAGTGCCCGGCTCAGCTTAGATTCCCTGCAAAGGCGTTTCCACAGCACGGAGTCTCCACACATAATTATCAGTTACAGACAGACATGTCATCTCTCCCTCCTTCTATCACCCAAGGGCCTTGGCAACGCTAATTATGCCCCCTGAACCTTGTGAAGTGGTGCTTGGCTCAGGTTTATGAGCATTTAAGCTGGGTGGAAAGGCTGCCACCGCCCAGGCCCCACCTCCAACCTCAGAGCTTGTGGCTGGGGTGTCCAGCTTGGGGGGGGGCTTCCACCTCTGGAACCCCTCCTCCTTCTTCATTTTCTTCATTCACTGACAGGCCACTGGGGCTCACAGAGTCATCAGAGTGGCAGCATGGCCCGTTCTGGAGCAAGCTAACAGTGTGGGCTCCAGGGCTGTCGTGTATGACAGGGTGCAGGTGGGAGGAAGTGAGGGTCAGGTGGGGCAGGAGCTCGGGCAGTGTCTCTACCTGGGCTACCTCTGTCCGTTGAGGTCTTCAACATCAGAAGGCCCAAATGTTTGCTGGCTACACCTCGCCCCTTCCTGACTTTTCCTGGGCAGAGCTAGATCTCAGCCATTCTACAGCTGAAGTCTGGTCACAAGGCACAAAGGAGGGGAGGGGGGCACATGCTTCCAGGGCTGCACCCCATGCAGACGGTTGGTACCTGAGAAGGCTCAAGTCCAGGCTAAGAGGCAGAGGGAGCCAGTGGCCAGACTGGTGGAGCCTGGGTCTCTCAGGCCATTTTGGATCCCTGTATTTTATGGTTGGAAAGGAGTGGGGTTTTCCGACTAGCCCACGTGGGGACACCTAGAGAATAAAGGGGTCCCCAGTGAGCAGATGGACATGTGGCACAGGCTGGAACTAGTGATCAGTCTATTCAGCACAGCCTCTGGATGGGGTGCATTCTGGGAGGGAAGCGGGGTACCTTCCCACAATGTCTTGTGCTTACAGACAGGATAAATCTCTGCATCCACACTGGCTCCAGGGTGTCAGTCCCCCAGCGATGGCTCCCACAGACACACACATATTAAGGAGAAGGGGCAGGAACCCAAAGGCACCCCTCTCTCTGCTGCTGCGTCCCAGTGTGGATGCTGAGTCCAGCCAGCCTGTGGGGGCTGGGGAGGGCCTGCTCAGCCACTTCCTTGCTGTGTGACTTCAGGGGAATCGTCTAAACTCTCTAAGCCTCATCTGAGCAGCAGAGCCCATTGCAAGAAGGGCATAGGTCCAAACGCCCTCTTCTGTAGTCAATGCCATAATAATCTGAGAGCTGCTACAGTTCATCCATTATTGTCCTTGGGATCAGTTGCAACTCTCGGTCTCTGATCTTTCCTGATGGAAGAATTGTGTAACCTCCTATAATCCTGAAAGAAATTTCCCAGGAAGGCAGACACCAGTCAGAGCAGGAAACCGCGAGCCCGTATTGGTATTCAAACGGAAGCTTAGCTTGTTCCTGCTTCTCCTGCCTCATCTCTGCTCCCATTTACATACCAGCTTCCATTTAAATACCCCAGTGACAAGACTAGCCACCACTTGCCAATGACACTCATTTCCCACAATGCCTTGGGCTTACAGACAGGATCAGACCTTGTATCCAGACTGGCCCCAGGCCCTGGTGCACCTGTGCCCTGGCTTCCGGCCACCTCCCTGACACTCAGACACTTGTTGCCTCCAGCAGACAGGGCCATAACCTTCCCCAAGACTGTCATTTCCATACTAATCACCAGTGTCTGGAACAGAATGGTCCCTGCAGCATGTCTGACACCAAGTAGACAGCGCAGAGTGGTGGCCAGGTGGTAGACTAAGGATCTGGATCTGAATCTTGCTTGACTACCTACGGCTGTGTGTCCTCAGGCTAATCAATTAACATCCTTGTGCCAGTTTCCTCATGTGTAAAATGGGGTTATAACAGAGCCTACCTCATAGGACTTTTGAGAGGATGAGCATCATCTCTGTTGACTTCTTCCCCACAAAGGTTAGCTACTCCTATTATTATGATTATGACTAATTGCTGTGGATAAAGGATCTATATTGTCCTGCCAGGAAGATGGATGAAGCTGGAGCCGGAAGGATGGGGAGTGTTTTCCAGGTCAGAAGAGAAAGGTGCAGGCAGCTTCGGTTTCCTTATCTGTGAATTCAGATCATCCTCATAACAGGACAGATCTGAACCTGGCCTGCAAGTGGGGCGTAAATGGCCTTCTCCAGGCTACAATGCTAGAAAGCAACAAGGCCAGGGCTTGAAGGCAGGTCTGTCTGAGTCTGGAGCCCATGCTCTGAACACCCTGCCTTATCTCTTTTTGAGTGCCAAGGTTTGTCTTGGCATGTGCAGACGTTTTTCCTGCCTCCCGCTTGACTCCTTGAGGACAGATATATCTCAATTTTTCTCATAGCTCCTGCCCAACCCAGCACCAGCAAGGATTTCTTCTATTCAGAAGAAATGGTGGCTTGAGTTTTCCAGGCTGAGGCAAAGAGCCAGTATTCTGCTGGATGCAGTCTCTCCTTAGCGCACCCATTCCCCAGGACAATCCCAGCTATCTCCTCCCAGGCAGGGCAGAGGGCAGGACTTCATCTAACTATTAAAGTCAAGCCAGCCTCCAGGCCTCTCACTCCTCTGTAGTCCCCTAAGTCAGATGGCCTTCCTGCCCAATTCTTAGAGAAGTGCCCATAATGCTGGCTCATCCCAAGACACTGTTTTTGTTGCCCCGCCCTCCATCACTGATTGGACCAGGATAGACACTGATCCACATAGGCCAATCAGGTCTTCCCTGTTGAATGTCCAAAGTCACTTAGCTAGGGTAGGGAAGGGAACTTGAGCCAACTGTTGCTCTTGACCCCACCCAGTACTTCAATGGGCTCCTAACCACCGGCTCACAGGATTGTCTCCTTCCTCAATTCTGGCACTTCCTGGAACCCTTATGCTGGCTTAATTATCTCTGTTCTGGCACAAAGATAGTCTGTAATAAGCAAATGAACTGAGTTTGCGATTCAAATGGAAGCCTATTAGAAATCTCATCATGGAGAATGTTCTGTATTAGATTCTATATTTGTCCTTCTGGCATCCATTCATCACAGGCCAACGGTGTTAACTAGTTTCTGATTGTCTGCTTTCTGGAGACTTGAGCATTAGTGACCTCCCCAGCAGGGGACACAGGGCCCCTCCCAGGGCTACAGAATTCTCTGACTCAGTGAAGGAGGCTCCCAGATGCAAATGACCCACTCTAGAGTACACAGCTCCAGTGAGCTCCTTCAGCAACCTCTCCCTGCATATCAACGTGGCCCTGCCCCAAATCAACCCAAGGCAGACAGCTAAGGGCAGCCTCTATGCCCCAAAGTTCTCTGGTCTTACACCAATTAGTAGATACTAAAATCCCCATCCTTCCTCACCTTTCCCAGGAATCCAGCCAAAATACAAACCTTATGTGCAATGCACCCCCAAATCTGTAACACAAGAAGGCACACAAAGGAGAAAGACAAATATGAGCAGAGCTTGCCTCTGAATAAAATCCTGTGGAGTGTGTGTGTGTGTGTGTGTGTGTGTGTGTGTGGTTGATGAGGAGGTGGGTGTATGTGTATGCCAGTGTGTGTGTGTGTGTGTGTGTGTGTGTGTGTGTGTGTGGTTGATGAGGAGGTGGGTGTATGTGTGTGCCAGCACCGGGGCTTGAACTCAAAGCCTTGCACTCTCACTTGGATTTTTTTGTTGTTGTTCAAGACTAGCACCCTATCACTGGAGCCACATCTCTACTTCTGGTTCTTTGCTGGTTAATTGAAAATAAGAGTCTCATGGACTTTACCTGCTCAGGCTGACTTCAAACCACAATCCTCAGCTTTCAGTCTCCTAAGCAGTTAGAATTACAAGTATGAGCCACCTACAACATAGTAGGTTATTAAAAAAAAAAAAAAAGCAAGTCTTCTAAGTGGAAATGCATTTTTTTTAAATACCACTTTTAAGATGTTTCTCTATAGCTGGGCACTGATGGCTCACGCCTGTAATCCTAGCTACTCAGGAAGCTGAGATCTGAGGATCACAGTTCAAAGCCAGCCCAGGCAGAAAGTCCATGAGACTCTTATCTCCAATTAACCACCAGAAAACGGGAAGTGGCACTATGGCTCAGGTGACAGAGCACTCGCCTTGAGCTGAAGAGCTGAGCGACAGTGCCCAGGCCCAGAGTTCAAGCCCCACCACCGACAAAAAATAAAAAAAATAAATAAAAGATGTTTCTCTATATTCCTGTGTTCTAAGCAGCATCCATCCACTGGCCTGTTGTACATGGAGATGCTGCCTGTTTCTGTCAGTCTGCATTGTCCTGTCAGCCAGGCCTGTACTCTGCTATTGTCTCGTTAGGAAAATACAAAATCCCCAGCTCAAAGGAGAGCACTTGCCTTGTAGGAGAAGGAGCCCTCGCTGAGGCTCAGGCTCACTGACGTGGCCCCGCTAGTGGGCGGGAGCGGCTGCAGCCGCAGGCCTGCACTTTGCGCTCCATCCATGGCGTCTAATACGGCATCCTGTTCACCCGAGGCTGGGCTGCTGCTAAACCAGGCTTATGCAGGCAGCCATGTCTGCTGGTGCTGACCTCCTTCCAGCAGGACGGCAGGACGGAAGGGAGACTCTTCTGGCTGCGTTACAGCTTCCTCCTCAGCTTCCCTGCAGGGCAGGGTTCTTCCCGTGCTCTAAGGGGCAGAGAGGAAGATTAAAAATGCATGCATCAGCTTGGATACCTGAGAGAGCCTTCAGAACCAGAAGGGCCACATATAGCATTGCATCATCCCTTTAGCCCCAAGAAGATCACTCACCTACTGCAAGGCTTCCTCTCAAGTTCTTCAGATTTCTCCTTTCTGTCCTCCACCCTCTGCCTTCCTCCCATCATATCTTAAACTAAACCTTCCTTTTGACATGGATTCCTGAGGACAAGAATACTGCCTAGGTCTACTTCTATAAAACAAAACAAAACAAAACAAAAAAAACAAAACTGCTGGGCACCGGTGGCTCACGGCTGTAATCCTAGCTACTCAGGAAGCTGACATCTGAGGATTGTGGTTCAAAACCAGCTCAGGCAAGGAAAGTCCGTGAGACTCTTCTCTCCAATTAACCACCAGAAAACCAGAAGTGGTGCTGTGGCTCTAGTGGTAGAGTACTAGCCTTGAGCAAAAGAAGTTCAGGGACAGTGCCCCACAACGGACCAAAGAAAATAAGACCATCAAAAGTCAGCCATTGCTGGGTGTGGTCCTTCCCACCTAGAATCCCAGCACTCAAAAGGAAGATTGAGAGCTTGAGGTCAGTTAGGGTTATATAGTGAGACGCTATCTAAAACCCTCCCACAAAGAAAAGTGATCTCCATGGCACATGGAGGAAATGTGCTGCTACCCAGATCAGTTGAGTGGCCATCAGCTCGCTTTGTCCTCTCAGAGACTCAGTTGTCTTATTTGTAAAGTGGGGGTAATCATGTGGTCTCAGAAACAGCAGCAACATTTATCCCTGTTCATGACACTGAACTACATTGTCAATGTTTCTCAAACTTTTCTCCCAAATACAGAAGAAAATGTGTCTCTTGTATTCATGGCCAAAACCCTACCATAGTGCTAAAGGTTTTTGGTTTCTTTTTGCCAGTACCAGGATTTGAACTCAGAGCCTCAAGTTTGCTCAGCTGGTGCTCGACCTCTTGAGCCACACCTCCTGGCCAGCTTTTTGCTAGGTAACTGGATGTGGAGTCTCTTGGAACTTTTCTGTACAAGATCCTCCAGATCTTGGTCTCCTGAACAGCTAGCATTAAAGGCATGAGCCATTGATACTAAGCTCTGAAGTCTTCTTATACTTGCAAAAAATAAAAATAAAAATCAATCCCCACCACTAAAGACAAAAACAAAATAAGAAAATAAAAAGCCCACTCAACAAAAAAATCATATTTGGATTCTATTGAATATTTTAATAAAAATGTTTAATGTGTGTGTGTATGTGTGTGTGTGTGTGTGTGTATGTGTGTGTGTGTCTGCCAGGACTGGGGCTTGAACTTTGTGCCTCATACTCTCACTTGGCATTTCTCCTCAAGACTAATGCCATACCACTTGAACCAAATCCACTTCTGGCTTTTTGCTAGTTAAATGGAAATAAGAGTCTGTCAAGTCTGCCCAGGCTGGCTTTAGACTTTGACTCTCAGATCTCAACCTCCTGAGCAGCTAGGATTACAGGCCTGAGCCATTGACACCAGCTTTAAATCATTTCTGGGGAGCTGGGAAAGTGTCTCAGTGGTAGAATGCTTGCTTCACATGCATGAAACCCTGGGTTCCATTCCTCGGTACCACATAACACAGAAAAAGCCAGAAGGGGTGCCGTGGCTCAAGTGGTAGAGCACTAGCCTTGAGCAAAAGAAGCTCAGTGATAGTGCCCAGGCCCTGAGTTCAAGCCCCAGGACTGGTGAAAAAAAAAATGATTTCTGATCTGCTATATGTGACTTTTGGGTCAGATCATTTCGCTTTTCAGCCAGCTTCCTCAGATATAAAAAATGTTTCCTCTCCTACAGGGCATGTGAATTCTTGATGAAATAAATCATATAAATGCACGCACAGCAAATGGTCAATGGATGTCAGTTGATATTAGTATCACTTTTTTCTTCTCTAGTTTAATCAAGTAATATATTCATGGATTCTTCCACAAGATAGATACTGAGGGTTCACAGACATAGATTAAACAGTCTGCCATACCCAAGCATCAGGAAGCTGCTAGCCCTTTGTCGTCTTGTTCTAGGTCCAGGATTCTGATTTTTATGTTTTAGAAATAGGGAAAACATATTCTAGACCCAGAAGCCATCAGATGCAAGCTTAGGACAGGAGTTGGCAGATGTCAACTTGTTAAAGGGCCTCAGAGTTAGATTCTATTTGAGATAGTATCCAGGCATGAGTATACTCATCAGGTGACTATAACTCACATCCCATCTCTTCTCTATTTGTAAAACTCTTAAAGAATATAGGTTTGCAAAATTATGAGGAAAGCATAATTATTCTTACTAGATTTTTTCTGTGCATGTCAAAATCATCCTTATATTAAAGTTTTGAGTCTCCTATCTTGGCATTTTGAGTTCAATGAGAGTTTTAGAAAAGGAAGAGAGTGTCTCAGGGCTCTTTCTACCTCTGCAAGGTCCAGGAAAGCCTCCAATCTAGAATTGAAGCTGCCCTGGAAAGCAAATTCCAGGATGATGTTTGCCAAATTCTCTCTTTCGTTCTTCTCCCAAGAGATCTAGTCAAAGCCTGACAAAGTGACTCAAAACTAAATACAGGCCTGTTGGGCTGGGTGTGGTGGCTCAAGCCTGTAATCCTAGTTATTTGGGTGGTAGGGATTCGCAGATTGTGGTTTTGAGGCCAGCTCAGAAGAACAAAGTTGGCAAAACTCCAGCTGGATGGCTGGTGGCATGCTTGTCACCCTTGGTATGTTGGGAGTGCAATGACTGAATGGAGTGGCATGTGCCGTCATTCCCAGAGACAAGGGGGAAGCACAGGCTGGCCCTAGCATAAAGCAAATTCCTACGTTGAAAATAACCAATGCAAAAAAAAAAAAAAAAAGGCGGGGGGGGGGATTGGAGGCATGGCTGGTGGCTTAAGTGGCAGATCAACTGGCTTGGAAGACTCTGAGTTCAACATCACAACACAGCACAACAAAATGAAAACAAAATTGAGCTAGTGCTGCCCCAGATAAAATACACACACACACACACACACACACACGCCTACCAAGCACTCTGAGCTGTGGTCACTAAGAACATCTTACTCAGTCAAGAATGCCTCACTCAGTCCTAATCAAGCAAACCACAACTCTGGAGTGACAACAAAGATCTGCCAGTCTCACTCACAGGATGTCAGAGAAAGCAAACAGGCCTTGGAGACTTGCTAGGGGGTGGCAGGAATCCAGACTTTCTAACCTTTAGGCCAGCTGCTTTTCTAGTGCTGTTTCTGTTTGCCCCGGGTTTTAATCAACAGCTGGTTTCCTTCTGGGTCTCCTGCAGACGGAACATGGCATTTTCTGGGCGGGGGAAGAGTTTGGCTTTGGTGGACTCTTGGCCAACTGGTCGCCCTTAGAAGGTACAACACTCTGCCTGCTGAGTCTCTCGACTTCCGGGAAATTTACTATATTTTATATATTTACTTATTTAGTGCCCATTATTAGGGCTTGAACTCAGGGGGCCTAACACTCCTGCTTGGCTCTTCCACCCCAACCCTGGCGGCCTTTTGCTGGTTAGTTGGAGATAAAAAGTCTCGTGGACTTTCCTGCCGCGGCTGGCTTTGAATGGCCATCCTTAGACCTCAGCACCTGAGCGGCTAGGATTGCAGTGCGGTAGCCAGGCACCTTTCTAGGATCAATAGATCGGTCCAAGGGGCCCCTCCCACTGTGGGCTGACAGTTACAGATCTTGGTCATGGACCCTGGAAAAGAAGAGCATCGCCCAGGCGCCTGCTGCTGCTCTCCTCTCAGTGGGTTATCCCCCCCCCCCACGCTCTCACACCGCAGGTTTTGCAGAGCAAGGGCTGTGGGCCGGTGGAGGTGAAGGGCGGGTGCGTTGAGAACGTGGCTCCGGCTGCACACGGATACAACACGCCCCTCTCACCACCTGCGGGAGCCGC